GGAGTCTGTTTACAAATCCTAGTGATATTCCCAGCAACGCTGTGTTGTAAAACAACAGTTTGTCTTGAATGTATTTGATTTTACAAAACAGCTTTATCTTGAAAGCCTCGTGAGCAAAGCCCCTGTTCCAATATACCCGTTTGCTGAATTAAACAGTGCTAAACATGTAACATTCTAAATGAATTAGGCTGGGAGATGTGAAGAAAGCTGAGCTTTAAGATGAAATGTAGGACAAACTCCAAAGGATGTTTTGCCTGTTTCAGTCAGCATTAGGATCTTGCCTATAGGCCTCCCTTTGAAACCTGGTTACCATGTCATTAGCAGAGCAGTAACTTAGGTGTTTCAAAACATTTTTTCAGGTGCTTTTTTGTATTCATGCTAGCTTCTCAACACCAAAAATCAATCTCAATCAAAGCTGCTACTGAGTTTATCATAAATTATCATGAAAGGTTTTCTACTGAGTAGATGGTTAATTACTATCTAATTTGAATAATTTTGCATATTAATGAGGAATGAATGAAAATCATTTTTAGATTTTTAACTTCAGCTGAGAAACCCATGGAGATAATGGCCCCCTTTTAAGATGCATGTGATCCTCTTACTAAAGGAGACTGAAGCTTTTTTTTTCATTTCCCAACTTGTTTTAAATTGATTAATGGATTAGTGGTTTTGTCATTAATAAACTATATCCCTATGAAAGACAAGTTCATTATTTGACTGTGTGGCCTTATATCTGCTGCCAGGAAAAAAAAAGTAACTGACTGAAACCAGATTAAGGTTTTGCTTAGGGAGGATGTAGCCTCGCACAAGCCTTTGCTTGCTGCCAGGAAGGCAGAAAACTGCCAAGTTATGCAGAGCTGGTTGGAGGAGGTAGCAATTCATGTGTTTTGCTGGATGAAACAGGACAAGGTATTGCAAACACAACCCTCTTTCTTCTCCTCAGCACCCAAGCCTGAGTGGGCAGAGCCTGCCTGTGGAAAAGGTGGGGTGCAGCCCTCCATGCTGCACATAGTAATAAAGCTGTTTTGGCATGGCACTATCAGCAGCCTTTGTGCTTTCAGTGGGCTCTTGTGAAAGAAAGAAGGGACCAAAGGAGTCTTGTTGGGAGCTCATCCTTCATTGCTCTGCCTTCAGGCTTCCTTGTACACCAGTTTACAGGGAAATGAGTTGACTTACTGCTGCCCTGTTGCCTCACCGGATCAAAGGAGTTCTGCATCTGCAGGGAGAGGTGTGAGGCTCAAAATATAAATTCACACAGCAACAGGAACTGGCCATTGGAAGTTGGGAAGTAGACATGGCAGGAGATCTGGGCACTCTGCAAGCCTTCTCTATGTTATGTTGTCCTTTACATAAGGCCTTTAGAGAGGTGACAGTCTCTTTCCAGAGTCCTCAGAGTAATGTAGCCCTGATTCAGTTCTGTGTTTCCCTGCATGCTGCAGCCATACAAATAGTAAATAAGGATAAAATACACACCCCACTGTATGGAACCACAAGTTTGTTCAGGGCTGCTGAGTTAACACTACTTCTATTAGGACTTGGGATTACTCCCTTCTGCTTTTCAGTGTTTCCAATAGAAGCAAAAGGAAGGTACAATGAAACTGAAAGGATGTAAAATGAATATACAATGCACTCTTAGAATAAATAATTAATTACCAGAAGATATCAGTGAAGCCCAAGGAGTGACATTTATATAAATATAACAAGACTACCCAGATTTCTAATGGCAAATATTTAAAGACAGGAGGAGAATTTTTTTTTGTAGGGAAATAAATCTTCCTGCTTCAAAGCATGTGCCAGATATTACCTAATGCAAGCTGGGGAGCAACCACACATGCTTCTTATGGTAGACGTGTGACTGCTCCTCTTCCTGCAGCAATTGGTAATACCCTGTGTCAATAACAGGTTACTAGATACTAAAGTCCTATATAAATGTTTCTTAATTGCTTTTCTTCTATTTGATGAAATAGAAAGGAAAAATGATGTGTTTTTTTTTTAATACAAGGATTCATCTACAAGGATGCTGTAGCAACAGAACAAGGGGGAACGGGTTCAAACTTAAACATGGGAGGTTCCGGTTATATATAAGAAGGAAGAAATTCTTCCCTGTGAGGAAGGTGAGGTGCTGGCACAGGGTGCCCAAAGCAGTGGTAAATGCTTCATCCCTGGCAGTGTTCAGGACCAGGCTGGACAGAGCCTTTGGCAGCATGGTCTAGTGTGAGGCATCCTTGCAATGCCAGGAGATTGGAACTGAATAATCTTAAGATCATTTCCGACCCAAACCATTCTGTGATTCTATTTCAGAGGATCTTCAGGTGCGGTTTGCAAACCATACCAGTGGGGTTTGGTCAGAGGGTCGGCAAGAAATAATGAAGGTGGGAGATCAGCAGTTGTGTTAGCACCTTTAAGTCACTGTGCCTGTATGCACAGAACCCAGTGCCTGCCACTGATGCTGAAGTATCTAATGAACTATTATTTTCAGGCTTCTTACATTGCAGAAGAGGCTCTACAGCTTGTACGTTTTCTGGTGACTAAAGTATTTGCCACCATCAGAAACATCAGCAGAAGGTCAGACTGACTGCGGGAGAATTGTGTGAATATTTTTGCAGCTTTCATTAGCAAAATTATTTTAATTAGTGAAACCCAAAGTAATTGAAGAAGAAGGTCACTTTATTTGTTTAGGATCAATGCCTCCATCACCATCCTGGTAGAATAGATTTCTCCAGTTGTGAGGACTAATTCTAACCTGATGTAAATCAAGAATAACTCCACTGAGACAAAAGAGAGCCCCTCCACTATAGAACTCGCATCTTCAACACTGCTTTAATGGTGAAGTGTGAAGCTGGGTGTCACAGAATCACAGATTGGTTTGGGTTGGAAGGAACCCTGAAGCTCATCCAGTTCCAACACCTGCCACGGGCAGGGACACCTTCCACTAGAGCGACTTGCTCCAAGCCCCTGGGTCCAGCCTGGCCTTGAACACTGCCAGGGATGGGGCAGCCACAGCTTTTCTGGGCACCCTCTGCCAGCACCCTCACAGGGAAAAACCTTCTTCCTAATGTCTAACCTAAATCTCCCCTCTGTCAGTTTAAAGCCACTGCACACATCTATTCACATCTGGTCCCTTTCAAAGGCACTTTGCTTCTCAAATAGTCTTTGGACTAGTTGGACCTATAGGATCATCTGCAAAAATATAGTATGCTTTTAAGTATATCATGATATGAGATGTATGTCTACTGTATCCAAGATATCGTACAAATGCAGTAGGTACTGAGCTTGTTCAAGGGATCATCTGCTTACCCCATGGCCACAAACGGGCTGATTTCTTGCCAGCACAGTTACAACAAGTTGTAGTAAGGAGAAAGGTATTGCAGGCTCCTTCATGCCACACATGAATGTAAGGATTTGATTGTATCTTTTCCACATAGCTGGTTATTTTTTCAAGGAGACCACACATAGGTAGAATGAGAGGAGTAAAGGCAGCCAAAAGTTAAAGAGCTCTGTTAGCATTAAGTTTTCTTTAAGTTTGTGGTGTTTTCACCTCTCCACCATGTCCATAGATTCATGCACAGATTCATGGTGCACCTTTTCTGAACCTCTTTCTTCAATGGCACAGCTCTAACTTCAGAGTCAGCCATAGGAAATGTGATATTCTTAGAAGCCAGTGAGATTTTAAAGAGCCAAATGCTTCAAATACCATTTGAAATGATCAAGGCGGGGGACCACTCATTGGAATTACCATGTGCCAAGAAGTCATTGAAAATAAAACCACCACAAAGAATTGCTGGGCTTGTTCTGTGTCATATGAATTCATAATGACCAAACTGTGGCACAGCTCCACTCTCACATCAAGTGTAAATTTATAGTAGTTGCAAGTGAAGTCAATAGCATTTCTTTGGACTTGCAAAGGTTACTGAATGTCAAATTCTGCTTCAGACTGAGAATAAAATCATTCTAAAGATATACTGAGAGCATGATCCTAATTTGCTTCAGCAGCCTTTGGCCTCTTTGTCATATAGAAACCCAGGGAACTACAAAACTTTGGGTTTGTCTTCCTTTTAAAGACCGGATTATTTTCCAGAGACCAGCTGATGAAGCGGAGCATGCACCAGTTAGGCACTGGCCTGGTTTTGGAAGCCTCGCGGATATGTGTGCCCTCAACTGGAACCAGGAGCATTCACTTACTCAACTGGAACTGGGTGATTTTCATTTCCTACACTAGAACTGCCTACCTCAGGGCAGGCAAAATGCTCCCTCTGCTGCCTGCTGTGCCATGAAGTGCACAGCCCTGACATACTTTAAAATGATAGAAACTTCCTGAACTCCAAACACAACTCAGCCCAGGGCTCTGTTGAGACAAGCCATGGAGATGTTCCGCCTCATTTCAGCAATTAGTGGATTATCCTTATGCTGTTTGATTATCTTTGTTATAGCCTTGTGTGTGCTCCTGGAGTCTAATTCCCACTGATTTCAATGTGTGAGATGCGCTTTTTGTTTTAATGATAACTCTGGAATCTGGAATTAACTGTGCCAAATGAGGTTGCATATGGAGGTCCATGTTAATTTCTGTTTAATAGAAATAAATACAGGTGACTCTCCCTGAGGAAAACAGGGTTTGTAAGGTCCTTTGGCTTGCTGAGGTATATGGATGATGCTTTTATGCCAAGCCTAAATAGTGGGAAGTATTAGAGAAGTTTCTGAAGGGCATATTGAATTTGCATCTGTGCCTAAAAACAAATGTCTTGAGAAATGAGAGTAAAAGAAGTGTGGAAGGGTATCCTTGTGTCTCCTCAAGTTGAAGTCAAATATCCTATTTGTGCTCTTAGGGCCAAAACCAGGCTGCTATTTAAACCATATGCTGGTATAAGTGTGTTTTGGGATGACCCTGCTGGATAGTCCTTCAGATGCACCCACAGCTTTGAAATCCCCTGTAGCACGTGCTTCAATGCATCGCGGGCATGCTCACACCTCCAGCTATTCTGTTTGCCTTTGCAGATGCCAGGCCAATCAGAGAACACCTTGTCCCTTGTCCCCTGCTGCAAGGACAGACAGGAGTTTTACTTGTCTCCAGCTGATGGAGCCAGGCAAAGCAGGCACCAGCAACAAGATCCTAGTGGCAACTTTGAATTTAGAGCATTCCAGGGGCAGCTGTGGCATAAATAAGGTAACCCTACTGTTTCCAGCATGTGCACAAAGGAGTTGATGTGTTATAACACTGGTTACAGAACAGATCCCATGGCTAGAGCTGCAAAGCTTTATGCTTTCAGCCCTAGTCTAACCCATGAAGTCTCAGCCAGAATGTCAGCCATTACAAATGGTACTTCTGATGGTCCTGTGCTTCTGAAATGAGGTTGCTTTTATGGAAATGCAGTGACCAGTAACGTGACTTTATTGGATGAATTATGTCTTGACACTCTTCCAGGTAAAGCAGCAGAGATGACAGTTTGGCAGAAGAGATAGAGTTAGCATATGAAAGGATATCTATAACATATGGGCATCAGGATATATTTGTGGGTGAATACATAGCCATTCTTCTGAAAAAAAATAGGTTTAAAAAGTGTCCTTTCCTCTTACAAAGTCAATGAAGATTTAATTATGAACCCAAACATACCTAATACATATGTAAGAGATCCTGGAGAAGAGAATTTAGAGGGGACAGAATGAATATAAAGCTGAAACTTGTCAATGTAACCATTAACTGCAGTGGCTCAGTGCCAGTTTACACCACTGAGAATGTGGCCACTAATATCTATTTAGCACATGCTGTCCTGTGCCTCTTGTGATAGTTGTTTTCAGTCATTAGGATTCCTTTAGCAAAATAAGGTCCTGCTTTATCCCAGGAGCAAGACTTAAACTAATCCTAGTGCCTAAAGTTCTTTTCAGTTTTCTTTTATGTATGTAGAATAAGCCATCTCTATATAGTACCTTACAAACTATGTATTTCCATGGGTTATAGGTGTTCTTCTATATTTCTATACTAATTACATAACTAGTTTTGTAAACTTGTTCTTCTTAGGTAAGATGTTCCAGAAATCAAACTAGTCACCATTAAACACCACAAGTACAGCTGCAGGTTTAAATATTTTATAATCCAATCAAATTGTTTGAGTAGTAATGCATTTAAATGTTGTTATGGAATCCCCTCTAGACTTTTTAAAATGGTTACTCTGTTCTTGGCTTTGCTATTTATGAAATTCATATGGGATGACATTTTTAATAATAGAGCATTTGACTTACAGAGTAGCAATTCCTGCAGTGTCTCACTATAATCTATAATTTTCTGACTGAACTTTCAGAGGGACACAAACACATATCACACTTTTATTAATGAACATATACATCTGTTGATGTTGCCATAATTGAAATGACCTTAAGTGAGAAGCCCTACGTAAGTCATTTAGCATTTTTTATGATGCTTGGGTGAAGATGCTCTACAGATGCAGCTTTAGGAAGCTAAAGCAGGAGTACAAAAGCTGTGCTAAAATGATGAAGGGAGGTTTAATTTGGAAAATGAAACAAAGCACAGCCCACATATAATTAAGCAGCATCCAGTACTATAGAGTCGGACAGAAGACAGGTATCAGGGAGTTGAAATTACCTCTCCTCCCTAGAGGGGATGGCACTGTCAGGTCAGGGCTGTGCTAAATGCTGGCTAACATGAGGGTATTTGATTGCAGTTGCTTTCATTGTACAGAGGTTGTGGATAAACTGAGGACATCATTTCTGAGAGGAAAAAGTTCCTTAACCTCCTCAAGCACACAGATGTGTCAGAAGGGCATTTATAAAACAACCACCAGGGCTTTGGAAGGGAAAACAGACCCAAACAAAACGGCAAGGACTTGCTCCTTTGCAGTTCACCTGAGGCTCTTTTCCACTGAAAGGCATGGTCAGAATCCAAACGACTGCATGAAACTGGGGCAGAAAGTTGTGAAAAGACTGGTGAGAAGCAGAACTCCCCTGGGCCCATGCCAGCACTGCTGCATTCACCATGTCCTGTACCCCAGCCACTGGTGCTAGGAGAAAAGGAAGACCGTGGGTAGGGAGCCTTCTGTCTCCCTCCCCTCTTCTGCATGTACAACACGTGGTTTCAGGCAGAGGTGCAATGTCAGCTTCCTCTTCAGAAGTCTCTGAAGTGCTTGCTGTGCTCTCATAGGTGTCTCCTGTCTGAGAGGGTGTGGTGTGAAACCTGCAGCTGGGCTGCAGCATTTCCTGGCCAGCCCTATGGTGAGAGAAAGGTGTTCTAGGACATACAAGCCTCCTGTGCGAACACCCTGTGAGGCACAGATATGCAACCAGGGTTCCAAGGGGGTTGTCTTTTGTTTCAGCAATGATTTTTTTCTGCCCTTCATCTATTTCGTTATCTGTTTAAGAGCATAGAATAATTTTTCTACTGATTATGGCCAAACCAGATGCCCACATGGCACAAATTAGCATATGTAGTTCCCCTGGCTTCAGAGGCACAAGCTAAGATAGTGCTTGTGGTCTACTGGTAGCTTTGATTTGCTCAGTACCATGGGAAAGTTTGATTTAGAGTTTAAACCAGAAAAGCGTTGAAGAGAGAGCCTGCAGGTAGAGGGACAGAACCTCCTCCCATATGCACAGTTGTAAATCTCACTCTGGAGCTACTCCAGATTAACTTCACTAAAAATGAGCCTGGAATCAAGCCCTGTATGCCTGAGTTACTTCAGACTGTTATTAATTTGAAGAGAGAAAATGAATCCTTGTGAAGGGGAAATAAGCAATCTTTATTAATAATAATTAGAGAGGGAAGACATTTTTTGATATATTGGCTTAATTTGGTATATAGACAGGTCAGTAAAATATAGAATTAATAATTTTATAAACTAGTAAACATTTTGTGTAGTTTAATATTAATTGTGTTTAAATGTTTCCTTAAAGCAGTATCGCAGTCGCAGCTGCACACAGTGAATTGTCTGAGCCCCTCTGCTTAGTTGCAAAGTCCTTAGTGATGGAGTGGGATCACCAAAGGTGACCAAGTCTTGGGATGGGAGAGGCAGCAGCACCGTGTGTGTGTGTTCGTCACCAGCAGCTGGGACACTCCATGTTTTAGCTTGCAAGCCACTGCACTTCCTGTGAACTCTTGCTCAGGATTTGCTCCTCTCTATGCTTCTTGCTCTGGTTTCAAGGCACGTAAATGATGTTTATTATAACTGCTGTTAATGCAGTACCACTCCAAGGCATCTTGTGCTAAGGTGTGGGTCCCGTTACTCTAGGGCCCGAAGATTTGGGTGGTATGTCTATTGAGATGTCAGAATTTGGGAAGGGGGGGAATAGGTTTGGGATATGTGTCCCAAGAGCACATCCAAGTCTATACCCTGTTATTAAACTACATTTCCAAAACACCAAGGTAATGTTTTTTTCCCTGGGTAAAAGAGAGTTGTGCCACCATCGCCACCATCACTTCACAAAGATCTCACTGGTGCTTTGCTTTCCCTTCTAATCACCTTCATCTTCTTACTTTTGACTTTTGTTGGTATCACAGCACAGAGTAAGGAATGGCTGCAATCCAAATTCTTACTTGACTCAAGCTAAGTGGAAGAAACACCAGTATCAAATTTTACCAGAAGCCACACACTGATGTACCAGGATTATTGTGTTCTTCATAGAGTGATTGTATGTAATTTTACATGTAATGTTCTTTGAACATATGGTTCATAACATAAAATCCCTTCATTTTAATTGACACAATAGACTGGAATGGCTTTTTTTCCCTTGCCAAAGTACTTGTTATGGTCTGTATCACCTATAATGTGCATTCTGTACAGCTCCTAACTAGGTATTTGGATGCTGGAATGCAAAAGATTGCTATTTATGAGACCATGAGACCACCTAGTGGGTCAACGATTTGCATTTTAAAAGTTCATTAATATGTACTAGGATCATAATACTGCCAGTGCCTTCATCACACCAACCTTCATCTCCTTCCAATAATAAATATCTTTCAAAAATGGCTTTTAACGCGAAACAGGAGCAAAACCCCATGTATTTTGTGACTCTCAAGTTGCCCTAATTGAAAGTTTAAAGGACATTGGGCAAAGTATTTTTCTCCTAGCATTAGCTAAAGGCGTTTTTTCCTTCTTGTTGTTTTTAAGAATCCACCAGAGGCTTGAAAGTGAAAAATCTGTTTTCTTATCTAATCCCTTTTTCTTCCTTCATGGACACACACCGCTTCGCTATTGTGAAGCTGCTGCTGAGTGCCAGTCTGCTGGCATTGATTTCTTCTTAGTTAGGAGTAGCACTGTATTTGTTTAGGAGAATATACAAAAGCTAAGGAATTATGTGGGTTTTCTGCACAAATTACAAAGAAATACAAACTTTCTTCTGACAGCTATGTACAAGTTCTCGTGCTCTGCCCCCATCCACATTTCACATCGAACTGGTTTACATCTCTGTACCTGTCTTTAGTTGAAGAGCCTTTGTTAAGCATAATCAGAAACAGCCTTTTCTCCCAACCCTGTATTCGTTCTGATCCATATTCTTTTCCCTTTTGCAAAGCAAATTCATAATAATAATAATTCTTCTGACAAATATTATGTTTTGATTTTTTTTTTTTTTTTTGCTGTTTCAAAACCACAGCACGGAGGAATTTACTTTAGACTCCCTTTCATTAAAGTTTAATCCCAAAGTCATATACAGAGGTAGGTGAACGTCTGCATGACTTGTCTGAAATATAGGTTAATTAAGCAAGCTAAATATACTTTACAGAACAGAACAATAGAGCGCTCCGTTCTGCAATTGAATTCAAGAGATTCGGAGAGAAAAGTGATCATCAACATTGGCGCTGAGCTTCCCCGAGCCTGTGCTGAACTTTATACAACAGCATAGACTAGTGGTAAGAGGGAAGATTGTCACCGGGATGCTGTTAGCCTGTTGTGTCTGGGCTGCGTCTTCTCAGGCTTCAGCTGCAGCGGAGCCTGGTGACCTGTAGCTGTGTAAACAGGTTCATAAAACACGACTGTAACTGATAACCACCTTACTTATCTAAAGCTGCTTTCTGTTGACCAGGTAAGTGGAAAACCATCTCGCAGCTAATGAAACACGTAATGTGATAGCAGTTACATCAGCTTGGAAACAGAAGTAGGGGCACTTCCCTTTTGTTTGATCATGGAGCACTCAGTTATCTGCAGTTCAACATAGTCTCTT